GCCCCTGCCGCACCGGTGACGGCGGCACCGTTTCTTACCGTCTCGTAGGCGGTGAGGACCTTTCGCAGCAGCTCGGGGATGGGGCCCTGGGCCTCCATGGGCGGGTAGCGCTCGGCCAGGTTGAGGGTGACGCTGGGCGCGCTGTCGCTGTGCAGCAGCCACGCGGCCACCGTGAGGATGCACTGCTTCATGTTGGCGGCCGGCGTGAGGCCGCAGAGCTCCTTGAAGGAGACCAGCGCGTTCTGCGGGCAGACACCGGCGTCAGGTCCTACGGGAGGGACCGGGAGCAGGGCTGCAGGCACTCGAAGGGGATGGTGTACTGCGCGATGAACTCGTCGCCGATGTAGTCGTCGTCCAGCACCACGAAGCGCAGCACGGCCAGCTCCGGCAGGTTCACCTGGAACTCCAGGCTCTCGTCGAACACCGGGTTGTCCCCGCTCTGCAGGGCCGTCTTGGTGCGGTGCTCGGCGCAGTCGGCCGGGATGCCGTGGATCTCGGCGCACACGTAGGGCTCCACCACCTCCCCCTTGGCCCCCGAGCCCTTGGGCTTGGGCAGGTTCTGCCCGCTGATGACCTTGAGGTGCAGGAGCTGCGCGGGCACCCCGGGCAGGGAGTCCTTGGCGTTGGCACTGAAGTAGGACACCTCCTCCCGCATGCCGGTGAGCGGCAGGCGCCGTTCTGCCGGAACCAGCCCGCGTTGAGGTCCATCATGAGCCCCGGCGTCTGGTAGTTCATGGCCACCATCTGGCAGCCGCACTTCCAGAAGTCCTGCGGGTTCATGTTGCTGGCGTCGATGCGCATGGGGCTGGGGTAGACGCGCGAGAGGAAGCGCTTGTTGTAGCTCACGAGCTCGGCGGGGCACTCGCTGGCGAAGCGCCCGGCCTCCACCTCGCTGAAGGAGCAGAGCTGCCAGTAGCGCTGCGCGCGCCGCGAGCCCTCGAAGCCGCGGAAGGCCACGGCCTGGCACAGGCTCACGAGCTCCGAGAGCTCGCGGCTCAGGCGCAGGCG